CCCTGTCAGTCTTTCAGAGAAAATGGCTTTTTTCTGAACTATTTTCTAGACTTCCCATCCTTTGCACCTGGTACTTTCTCTTGCCTAGTGTTCTATTGTAAAAATCCAGCCCAATATGGATCTCTGTTTTGGCTACATTATTTGGATAGGCTATGTATCCTTTAATTGTAATAACATTTTCAAGGGGAGTTATGTGTTAACTGCTTCCTAATTCCCTCTCAGACCAGAAAAATAACATGTACTATTTTCATTTCGCTTGAATCTCGGCTTCTTCACAAGCGTTATAAGCAACTTGAAGGAAAAAAGGTACAAAGCCATATAAACACAAATTGCCTCACTGTCTGGGCAAGAGACTTGGCATACGTAAGGGCACTAAAAATACCTCTGCCCTTCTGAATAACATTATACAGTGTTCCTGTTGATAAAACATGATGCGTAAGAACGTTTTTAGTTCCCATGACAAGCATATTTGTATATTCATGCCTTATCCAGTATATGCAAACTCTCATTAATATGAATATGTCAAAATGTAGGCCTGAGATAGGACTACTAATTTTTAAAGCATCCTTATCAAGAAAAAGGAATGTAACTTCATATTGGAAATTTAGATGCACACAGGATTATGCTGTGTAGAGTGAGCGAGGTAATTGGTGAATGGTGCTTGGCCTGGGAGGGAACAAAAAGTGCAAATGGATTGTGGGGAGTGAGAAGGTCAGGCAGCAACATCAATATTTCTGTGCTTGCCCTCTGGAGTCAGATTCTTCCTGAAATCTGTGAGGCTCCCACCCTACTGACATTCCAGAGGGCCCTGAAGACTAGGCTGTTCTCTCAGGCCTGGATTAGGGTAGATAGAAACTCTTCTTGGAGTATTTTTTGGTATGTGTTTTATTATGAGCAGCAGGATCCAATTTATCTGTTCTACATTGTGTTTCTATTTTGTTTGCTATGTTGTGAGCTGCCCAGAATCATTTTGGAGTCAGACAGCATCTTAATCAAAGTATGTGTGTGTGTGTGTGTGTGTGTGTGTGTGTGTGTATAAGCAGATCCAATTGGCAAAAGAAAGTTCAGGACTGTATAGGTTGGAAACATATGGAAGAAGCCTTCACCCTGCAATGGAGATAGACAATGGCTAAAATGATGGTGTATGTATGTATGGATTACTGCCTTGTCATGGCTAAGGAGCTTGCATAACTCAACGAAGCTATGAGCTATACCATGTAGGGCCACCCAAGATGGATAGGTAATAGCAAAGAGTTCTGACAAAATGTGATCCACTGGAGAAGGAAATGGCAACCCACTCCAGTATCTTTGCCATGAAAACCCCATGGACAGTACCAAAAGGCAAAAAGATATGACGCTGGAAGATGAGCCCCTCAGGTTGGAAGGTGTCCAATATGCTACTGGGAAAGAGCAGAGGGCTAGTACTAGTAGCGCCAGAAAGAATGAAGTGACTGGGCCAAAGCCGAAAGTAGACGTATCTGGTGGTGAAAGTCTGATGCTGTCTGATCTTTTCTCCATAGGAACCTGGAATGTAAGATCCATGAATCAAGGCAAGCTAGACATAGTCAAACAAGAGATGACAAGATTGAACATTGACATCTTAGGAATCAGCGAATTAAAATGGACAGGAATGGGTGAATTTAACTCAGATGACCATCTGGTATACTACTGTGGGTAAGAATCACTCAGAAGAAATGGAATAGCCTTCATAGTCAATAAAAGTATAGGAAAAGCAATACTGGGATACAATCCCCAAAATGACAGAATGATCTCAGTTCGAATCCAAGGCAAACCATTCAATATCACAGTAGTCCAAATTATGCCCCAACCACTGGTGCTGAAGAGGTTGAAATTGACCAGTTCTATGAAGTCTTACAGCACCTTATAGAATTAACACCAAAAAATGATGTCCTTATCATATTGGGGGATTGGAATGCTAAAGTAGGAAGCCAAAAGATAACCGGAATAACAGGTAAGTTTGGCCTTCTAGTACAAAATGAAGCAGGGCACAGGCTGATAGAGTTTTGTCAAGAGAATACGATGTCATAACAAACACTCTTTTCCAACAACTCAAGAGATGGCTCTATACATGGACATCACCAGACAGTCAACACAGAAATCAGATTGACTATGTGCTCTGCAGCCAAAGATGGAGAAGCTCTATACAGTCAGTAAAAACAAGACCAGGAGCTGACTGTGGCTCAGATCATGAACTTCTCAATGCAAAATTTAGGCCTAAATTGAAGAAAGTAGGAAAAAGCACTAGACCACTCAGGTATGAACTAAATCATATTCCTGATGAATATACAGTAGAGGTGACAAATAGATTTAAGGAATTAGATCTGATAGACAGAGTGCCTGAAGAACTATGGACGGAGGTTTGCAACATTGTACAAGAGGTAGCAACTAAAACCATCCCAAAGAAAAAGAAATGCAAGAAAGCAAAATGGCTGTCTGAGGAAGCTTTACAAATAGCTGAGGAAAGAAGGGAAGTGAAAGGCAAAGGAGAAAGAGAAAGATACACCCAACTGAATGCAGAATTCCAGAGAATAGCTAGAAGAGATAAGAATGCCTTCTTAAATGAACAGTGCAAAGAAATAGAAGAAAACAACAGAATAGGGAGGACCAGAGATCTCTTCAAGAAAATTGGAGATATGAAGGGAACGTTTCATGAAAAGATGGGCATAATAAAGGACCATAATGACAGGGACCTAACAGAGGCAGAAGAGATTAAGAAAAGGTGGCAAAACTACACAGAAGAACTATACAAGAACAAGTTTAACGTCCCAGATAATCACAATGGGTTGGTCACTGACCTCAAGCCAGATATCCTAGAATGTGAAGTGAAATGGGCCTTAGGAAATCTGAGCAACAACAAAGCTAGTGGAGGTGACACTATTCCAGCTGAGCTATTCAAAATCTTAAAAGACGATGCAGTAAAAGTGCTACACTCAATTTGCCAGCAAATTTGGAAAACTCAACAGTGGCCACAGGATTGGAAAAGGTCAGTTTACATTCCAATTCCAAAGAAAGGCAATGCCAAAGAAGGTTCAAACTATTGCACCATTGCATTCATTTCACATGCTAGTAAAGTTATGCTTAAAATCCTACAAGCTACACTCCAGCAGTATGTGGATCAAGAACTACCAGAAGTACAGGCAGGATTTCGGAGAGGCAGAGGAATTAGAGATCAAATTGCGAACATACGCTGGATCATGGAGAAAGCTAGAGAGTTCCAGAAAAACATCTACTTCTGCTTCATTGACTATGCTAAAGCTTTTGATTGTGTGGATCACAACAAATTATGGCATGTTCTTAAAGAGATGGGAGTACCAGACCATTTTATTTGTTTCTTAAGAAACCTATATATGGGTCAAGAAGCAACAGTAAGAACTAGACACAGAACCACTGATTGGTTCAAAATTAGGAAAGGAGTCTGGCAAGGCTGTATACTGTCACCCTGCCTATTTAACTTATATGCAGAGCACATCATGAGAAAGGCAGGGCTAGATGAATCAAAAGTTGGAATTAAGATTGCCGGAAGAAATATCAACAACCTAAGATATGCAGATGATACCATTCTAATGGCAGAAAGTGAAGAGGAACTAAAGAGCCTCTTGATGCGGGTGAAGAAGGAGAGTGCAAAAGTTGGCTTGAAACTCAACATTAAGAAAACCAAAATCATGGCATCCGGCCCTCTCAATTCCTGGCAAATAGATGGGGAAGAAATGGAGGTAGTGACAGATTTTATTTTCCTGGGCACCAAGATCACCTCAGATGGGGACTGCAGCCAAGAAATTAAAAGATGCTTACTCCTGGGGAGAAAAGCTATGGCAAATCTAGACAGCATACTAAAAAGTAGAGCCATCACCCTGCCAACAAAAGTGCATATAGTCCAGGCCATGGTTTTCCCAGTTGCAATGTATGGATGTGAAAGTTGGACCATAAGAAAGGCTGAGCGACAAAGAATTGAGGTCTTTGAACTATGGTGCTGGAGAAGTCTCCTGCGAGTCCCTTGGACTGCAAGGCGTTCAAACCGGTCAGTCCTAGAAGAGATCAACCCCGACTGCTCTTTAGAAGGCCAGATCCTGAAGTTGAAACTTGAATACTTTGGCCACCTAATGAGAAGGAAGGACTTACTGGAGAAGAGCCTAATACTGGGAAAGATTGAGGGCAATAGAAGAACGGGACAAAAGAGAATGAGGTGGCTGGATGGAGTCACTGAAGCAATAGGTGTGAACTTAAATGGACACCAGAAGATGGTAGAGGACAGGAAGACCTGGAGGAACATTGTCCATAGGGGTCACGATGAGTCAGACATGACTTTGCAATTATCAAGAACAACAACATGTATGTGTCTATGATTAAACTAAATGACCAAAGGCGTAATCTGATGTAAGGCAGATTTTTTTTCACTCTTCATTTTCTGTATGCTTCATTTGCCACTTTATTTTAGCCCTGCTCTTTCATAGCTATTTTGTACTGTCACAAAGAAATATACTTATAATTGGTGGACATTGCCCACTTGTTTCCATTGCAAATGACTATGACTATCCATTACTATATTCTCTAATAGCATTGTCCAACAAAGTTGCTTTAGCTTGATTATTGGGATAAATAAAAACTAATGTACTTTTTTCATCCCACTGTTGCAGATAAGAATTTTACATTTCACAACTTATTTCTATTAATTCAGATATCAGCATGATTTCATAATAATCCCTTGATTTAAATATATTTCTGTGTTTATAAAAATAGCAAACAAAGTCTCCTATATGCATTAGCACGTGTATTAATAATCTCTTTTTCAGTAAGCATGAGCAACCTTTGCCCTTTATTGATCAGCTTTGTATTAATTGTGTTAACTATTTTATCCATGGGTTTGAATCTCCAATCTTCATAATTTAGGTGGGGGAGTCATGAACCATGGAATTTCATGGGACGGTTAAGTTGGGTCCTTAAAATTTTAAAATACAGAAAAGAGTTCTAAGTTTACTTACTTGGTTTTCTTTTAGAGTTATCTGTCCTTGTTCCTTGCATCCAATAAATGTTCTGATACATTTGAAAACTTTTTCATCTTGTAATCTTTGAACAAAATTAGCAGGAAAAAAACCAGTTCTATCTTCTATTTTTCCCTGTGAACAGACATGGTGACAAAACAATCATTACATGGTATTAAAGTTCATATTTTGTATATGTTATTTTTCAGTCAGTTCCTCAAGTTGATTTGTTCTCCTTTCCCTTCAGCTACTGAGATAGCTAGCATTGTAAAACAGTTCCCACAGAGTCTACAATCACCCATTGAGTTTCATCAAAATTCAGAGGAATTTGAACTTTAATCATTCTAGCCTTGGCCAGATGCTCTAACCCATCTTCCCCAACATTGGCTCTCCATGTATGGCAGATTACAATTCTCTTCATCAATATTCAGCATGCTGGTTGAGGATAGTGGAAGCTATAATCCAATATAATTAAAGAGCACTTGGTTGGTTCTATAATTGATGACAATTTCTAATGTAGATAACCAGATAATTTGATGGTTTGTTTGCATTCCCCTGCTTTATCTCTTGGATTTTAGTCTGAAACAGAAGGAACGTTTCTTTATTTTCTCATTATGAAAAAGAGTAGCTAACCAAAGAACTATGCTAGAAAAAATATAGTTCTACAATAGAATATTGGGTTACAAATGGATTTATATTGATGTATTGATCAAAAAAGTATAATACAATATTCACTTTTTTCCATTTTCAACACAATTGAAGCTATTTTGATTGTACCTTCCACCAATCTTCATTTGAATCCTCCAGTAGTGTAATTCTATCTCCTGGTCTATGATTAAAGAAACAGAAATATTGAAATTAGTTTATATGTCTCTACTAATATGCAAAAGCACCAGTACATTCTGTCATTTATTCATCCATCAGACTATACTGTAGAATTGTACAAAATTATCTGTAATGGTGATACAGATGATGGGATTAAAAACTATTGGTTTTGATTTCAATAAAACTAGTAAAACAAGCCAATCACAACTAAATGCAGCCTTCAGTGCCCCCAATTCACATGTTTTTTAAAGCTTGGATAATGTCGACAATATAATGTATAGATATGTATATTAAACAAATAAAAATATGCATAGATGGAATATACAGGGTATACTAGCATTACCTCATTTCCAAATCTTCGTGCTCCTGTGGTACAAATTTGTACAAGGCAACATAGGTATTCATCTGACCAGTATCTTTATTAAGAGATCCCTTGATTATAGAAGAGAGGGAGCAAAGAAGAGGAAAATAGATTACTACTAGTTTTGCAAAAACATCATATTGGAAATCATAGTTGCTTTTCCTTAGACCAGTGGTTCTCAACCTTTTTAATGCCGTGACCCCCAACCGGTCATAAGTTGAGGACTACTCAACTGGTCGTAAGTTGAGGACTACTCAACTGGTGAAGCACCATTTGCAGAATGGGACTTTTGGCAGGCTCAGCAGGGCAGAGACAGCCTGGACAATTCCTATTGGCTTTTGAAAGTCAATAGAATTAGACTCTATTCAAGAGAGTCTATTCTATTGGCTTTCAAAAGCCAATAGAATAAAAGGGAGTAGCACAGCTAAGGAAAAAGGGAAAAAATGGCGGACTGCGTTGTTTGGCGACCCCCGTGAAATGGTCGTTTGACCCCAAATGGGGTCCCGACCCACAGGCTGAGAACCACTGCCTTAGACATTGAAGTGGTATTTTGAAATATATTTTGTTTGTTGAGTACCCATGACCAATGGCTTCATTTTGGTCTAATTTTATTCTTTGTTTTTAACTCGGAGTAGAACATAAATGGTGAAATGTATCTGACAGGGTCTAAACTTATTTTGAAATAAAATTTAAAAAGCTGGAGAAGGGATATTTAGCAATGAATAACAACTCTAGCAAATTCTGTTTGAGAAGCTAATATTATAGATAGTACAACAGGTTTGTATTATCTACTGAACTGATACAATCCCAAATCCACTAAACAAGACATATACAAAAGAGTGATCTAGGAAGATAAATGGAGAATTTCTAAAGAAATTGCTTTTGATTATATACAGAATTTAGACATTTTTTTCAGTATCAGAACTAGGTTTATACACAAATAAATTTCTATTTTCTCTCAAGCTTTCTAGATCTCAGTATATTAAGAGAGGGAGAAAAGGCTTTTTATGGGTGTTCTCATTCAATCATTGGGAACTGGAACCATTCCACATCAAATATGTATTTATGTCTATTTCTGTCCATATTAGTTCTTTGCATAAATAGTGATTTAAAAATGAAAATTCATATTTATTTCCAGACCTGCGTCAAAATATAATATACATTTTCTAAAATATGTATTTTCCTGAGTACTTTTCCTTAATACATGCATTTACCAGCAAAGAAATATATATGTACAGATCTGGACAGCAAAAAAATGGAACAATTTTTCTGCATGCTAGTACAGAAAGAGAAAATTAGACAGTTTATTGAAAACTGTATGCTGAACAAAATCCTTCTCCATTTCTACATAATGCAAATGTTTTAAACCATTCAGTTCATAGATTTGGCTATATTTTGGCTATATCTTGAATTGAATGTAGAACTATTATCTATATATTTTATTATAAAAGTCCAAGTAAAGAAAGTCCAAGTAAATTATTTAAGTTATAATGAATATTTAAGTTATAATGACAAGTGCCAAAGATAAAAGATAAAGAGATCTTTGGATTTGTGAAAATTTGTTTTCACTGATGTGCAGTCTAATAGTAGATATTAAAATAATGAACAGATGCAGACAAACCCATCTTTACAAAATCAGGAGGCTTCAACTTCCTCCATTGTAAGACTGCAATAAAAATGACAAAGGTTTTGCCACTAACTTGGCTGGTTAAATGGTAAGCTTTAAGACAAAATGATTGGGATATACATTTTGGCCTTGCTCTGGCCATTTCCCCCCATCTCTCATCCCAAATTAATGAAAAAGTTTTGCAATGAAATTGTAAACCTATTTGCCTGAAAGCTTCACAGAACTAGAAATTCTTAGCAGGCAGCTATATTCAGCTGAATTATTATAATTATAATTATTATAATTTATCTTCCTATAATCCTGTGATTCAAAGGTCTGGGAATGGAGCTATAGAAACAATATATGCATCTCCAATTCCAAGTTTTATTTTAAAAAATAATATTTGGGGAGCAGAAAGCTTATTCTGCAAATTATCATTTATTAACATATATATGTATATTTTATTTATTAATGTATATATTCATATTAAATATAATATACTATTATATTTATACATATCTAAAAATTCACCTGTAGTGCAGAGTTAATTTTCTTTGGTTCTTCTCCAAAATCCAACATACCATTTATTGAATATGTAAATACTGTAATCAGAGAGAAAAATATATTTTAGGATCAAGAGCCTACCTGCCAAAGAACACCATCAGTTGTACTAATATTATATTTTCACTTCATTTTGTCTTTGCCTGCAAGAATTTGTAACTTGCATTCCTACTAAGATGCCTTTCCTAAGGGTTAAACCATCAAAGTCTAATACTCCTATTTCAGTCTGTGAAATTTTTTAAAGAGAAAGGGTTGAAAACCATGGGCTTTGATTCTATTATTGGTATTAAAAACTTCACTTTTTAAATAGTCCACTTATTCTTTAATTGAAGAGAAAAGTATGGGAAAAATGTAAAGAATGTAAAAATATTTTATATTCAAATATTCTGCTCTGTTATATATATTTCCTCACTATTCATATAACCTGACATATTAATTACTGTCAACATTCAACAATTCTGTTTTCAGAAACTTAACTATTTTTCTGGAACTGATAATGCTCATGTATGAATATCAGTTTTTACCAAGTATCAGTTGTCACCAGATAATGGCACTTCTCTGGGAATCTGAGGTGGATATCTCTATCTCAGAAGGATCATTCCATTTCTTCCTTAAGTTCTATAAATGCTTGGTCCTTGGCAATAACGCCATATTCCATGTTAGCACAGGGCAAAGCCTAAAAACTGCCTTATAATATGTATGTACTTGATTTTTAATCATCTATCACACTTTCCATGGTAACAAAGGAGGACCACGAGCTGGCGCTCTCCCTCTCTGTTAACACAGCTCTGGAGAAAGGAGAGTAAGCACAATACAGTGCCACCCATCCCTAATTCTTGGTTTGTTCTGGAAATTGGAGGTGGGCAGCACTGTACTATGCTCTTTTCCTTTCTCTGGCAACAGTTCCAGTCAGTGTTGACAGAGGAGAGACCTCTTTGCTTTATTGGGTATCTCAGGGGTTCAGTTCTTTCTCCACTTCTATTTAACATGAGGCCTCTGGGTGAGGTGATTTGTCAGTTTGGGGCATAATACCATCAGTACACAGATAACACTCAGCTTTGTTTCTCTATGCTAAGCCATTTGACTGATCCTGATCCCAGTGCCTGGGGCTGAATGGGACGAAACATGCTCAATCTTAGCAAGATGGAGTTGATCTGGATATTTGGACCACCTGGAGATAGGTTCTTCCATTCATGGGGTTTCACTGCTCCAGACAGATCTGGTGCACAATCTGGGGGTTCTCTTGGACTTGCAGCTCCTGTTAAAAAAGCAGCTGTACCTGTGACTAGGAGAGTCTTTGCATACTTTTGAATCATATGTCAGTTGCACCCATACTTGGATTGAGAAGCCTGCCATTGTAACATATAGGTTAGACTAGAGTATTGTAACATGCTCTGCATGGGGCTACCTTTGAAGACCACTCAGAAACTTTAGATAGTGTAGAATGTGGCTGTGTGGATAATAAATAGTTCCAGATAACACCACCCTTGAATGAACTGCATTGGTTACTACTGTGTTCTTGGTGCAATTCAATGTGCTGGTAGTTAAAGCCCGATAAGGCTTGGGACCATGGTATTTGAGAGATTGCCTTTTTCCAAAGGCAATATGTGTGTGTTTGTGTGTGTGTGTGTTTGTGGTGTTTATGTATATGTGTACATGTATATATGTTAATAATAATATTAAAATATGATCCCTGGGTGTATCCATATTCAAAATAAATAAGCATGAGCACTAGGGAATTCTAAACTATAAAAGTTTAATAAAAAATGCCAAGCTTTCATCGGCAACTGCTGACATCATCAGGGCTTAAAATGCTAGTCAGTGAGGAAGTTCTTTTATAGGTTAGTCAAGGTCTGCACCCAGGTCCTAGACCTCATCATCGGACCTAATTGAATAAACTGTGTTCCGGTTGCAGTTTGGCGGGATGGGTGGCAGTTGTTCTTTTCCTGCATCTCTTGTCTGTATGCGTAGCACCACATATCCTCCTTTCGTTGAATTCAGAATTGGGCAGGGTATTCCCCCCCCTTTTTAGTTTGGTCATGTCTCCTGTGTCACTCCATTGTGTGTTCCTGTCATCCTTCCCCTTTCTCCACTCAAGTTGTCTAGGTTTTATACGCTCTCCCTTCTTCTCTTCTCCACAAGCTTCACTTGCACAGCTGTGACTCCATAGGGATTGTCCCGTTCAACCTCCACCCCTCTCCCCCCCATCTCCGATGCCTTCCACTCGTATATTCTCACCCTCTAAGCTATCCTTTCCCTTGCTCCATCTAAGTTGTCTAGGTCTTGTATACTCTTTCTTCTTCTCTTCTCCACAAGCTCCACTTGCACAGTTGTGATCTCCATAGGGGTCATCCCATTTAACCTCCACCCCTCTCCTCCCATCTCCGATGTTTTCCATGTATATATGTATAAATATATTTAATTAATTGTAAGCCACCCAGAATTATTGACAAAGACCGGCAGCTATAGAAATGGAATGAATGAGACTTCTGGTTTACCATCGCAGCCGCCGTGGAGGCTGGAAGGTGAGCTCTGTCTTCTGCATTTGATTTTGCACTGCTGGCAGACCCTGGAAAGGGTCAAAAGTCGCCTTGTAGGGACAACAAGCAAGGAGGGGATCCCCACTTGATCACAGGAGGTGGTAGCCCTTCTGTTTGACCTGGGGTAGCCTCCAAACTGAGAAATGAAAGACTGGCCAAAGAAATATGGTCTGTCACTAGGCTGCAGGCAGCTGAAGTCAAATTTACTACCAGGCATTTCTAAAGCAGCATGGATGAGACTGGATGAGATCTGACCTCTCTTCAATCCTAACTATCCTTTTTACCTGTATAAAAGTATTACCTGCCCAAAGTATTTCCCCCCCCCCCGTGGAGAGAGGGAAGGGAAATCCTATCCCACCCTCTAAGAGCAGCAGCGACTGACTATCCAGAGGAGTTTAAAACGTTGAAAGAATAACCTTATTTTAACTGGATTTATATGTTTTTAAAATTTGAGGACCAAAAGGTTTCTTATCCCTATTGAAGATTTGGGTTTTTAGTTACAAAAAGAAGTAAAATTGGAAAAAGAATTATAAAAATTTTGGACTTAAAAATCTTAAACGGCATTGGTGACATCTTGTGGCTAAATCTGACACTACAACCTGTTATTGTCTAAAAGAGACTTGGCTTGAAGCCCAGACTACAGATAAGACTCCTTTAACCTTGGCAGTTATCAGCTGTGAGAAGCTCAGCTATGTTCTATACCCAGTGATAAAATTATTTTCATCTCTTGATTGTAAAGCTTTTAATTTAATACACTACTAAGAGAATATAGATGAAGATCAGGAACGGATTCTTTCTATGTTGAAAGCAATTCATGAAACTATTCTTACAGCTTCTGACTAAATAAGACGCTATAGAAAAAGAACAAGATGTCAGTCTAGATATTCAAACCCTAACTTTGACTACAATTAAAGAATCAACTACACAGAACACAATAGAAAAAATAGAACAATCAAACACTATGATAGAAGATTCAATGGACCAACAAACACAGTTAATGGAAAACCCACAAAAAGGACTGATAACACTGAAAATGGAAAAGACTTTCTATATAAACCAGAAGAAATATGAGGAGCAAGAAGAAGAACAGACCAAAGGGAAGATAAACATTCCAGGACAACTATGGGGAGATGGAATAATAGAGAGACAATTTGTTAGTCCTTCCAAAAGAATGGTGATTGGATGGTCTCTTTTATTTCAAATAATATATACCATAACAGAGGGAGATCTATTTGATGATTTAAAAGCACGGACATGGAAGGCGAGTTGGCAAAGAAAGAAAGCTAGAATAAGGCTGAAGAAAATTGAGGTTTGGATTTATTAGTAAGGATTAATTAAAATAGAATATACTCAAACAGACAAAATGTGTACTTTGAATACTAGATTATGCTATGAATTGAGATAAAGAAAACTGGTCATTTAAAACTTGGAAGTATCAATATCAAAAGTCAAATTTGAATATTGATGGGAAATTAAAAATTGGGGAAAACAAATAAATAGGATATTAATTATAAAGATTGAATGTAAAAGTAATTAAGATATATATAAGCTAATTTTTTAATAAATGTAATAAACATGTCTTTACGTAATTGATAAAATAGGAATTGTATTAGTTTAAATATGAGATAGTAGATATTAAGAGAAAAAGAGAGGAAGTATTTCATGTTGAAATAAGGGAAATTTTGGTCATTAAATTTAAGACATTTGGAAATTAGTAGAAAATAAGAATGTTATACTGTATTATTAACTAGATGATGTAAGATGGTGAGAAATAGAATATATTCAAATAGATAGGACACGTATCTTGAACATTAGGTTTTGTGATGAACTGTGGTAAAGGAAACTTTGGTTACCTAAAACTTGGAAATTATAAATATTAAATGTTAAATTTAAATATTGACGGAAAACTAAAAATTGGGAAAATTACAGGATATTGATTGTCTATAAAGATTGAATGTTAAAGCAATTAGGATATATATAAGCTAAAAACTATTGATAAATGTAATAATGTTATTTTACTTAATTCATATAATAAGAATTGTATTAGCTTAAACATGAGACAGTAAATACTAAGGGAAAAAGAGAGGAAATATTTAATGTGGTAGACACTTGTATGTTATGGAATTATTGATTAACCCAACCTCCACATTGCTTTTTAAATATTTAAATGTAAAACTAGAAAATCAATAAAACTTAAAAAAAGAAAGAAATGGAATGAATGAATAAATAAATAAATAAATACATTCAAACTTTAAACCATTTAATACCCACACGTACCCTTCAATACACTTAATATTCTTAATTAATCTTTTTGTACTCTGTATTAGAATCCTTGGGATCACAACATAAAAGGTTTGGTGTTATCAAAGCTTTCAGACAGCATGGAAAATTTTATAACTGCCAAGAGGAATGTTTTGGTGGAGTTTTGGAGTATAATATTTTATACTCTTAAAATTTTATACTCTTAAAATACTTTTATATTTTATAATTTTATGCTAATCTTCTGATGAGGCAACAATAATCTAATCAAGTAACGATCAAATAAATTGTTACTATTCTGATGAGGTTTGTTGGGGATCACAGAGAATTTCATCAACAACCTTCCTGCACTATGTGAAATTGTGCATATCTCACAGATAATAGATCTTTTTAAATATGGAAAACATGAATGTTAAATATGCTAAGAAACATTTGCTGCAATTTTTTATGATTTGCTGGCAGTGTACAAGAAGCCACACCATAATTATTATAAACCCTGGAAAGCAGTAGAGAGTAAATAGTAGCTTCCTCCTCAATATCTGTTTGCACCTTTTGACATTAATCCCAGAACAGGGTTTGTACGTCAAGATTTTATGAGATAATCTGTGTTTTAGCTATAACTGATAACTTACACTCACCACTATTGCTGCGTTGCCTATTTATGTCAAACATATTTCCTAGGCTGCCTCTTTCTTCAGGAACTTCTGCCAGATCTGATGTCTGCAATAGAGAAAAAAGCAGCACAGTGAAAACTAGTGATAAGATGAAGAAAATTGAGATCAAACATGTGCCAACAATTTGATGATGGTAGTGAGAATATGGGAATTAGAATGGAGCTTCAGTGCTGCTTCTACTATATTATCCAGAGGCAGTTTAGATCCTTGATTGAAGTATAGCAATATGTATAGTATAAACTGGTGTCCTAGATGTTAAATGGAATGCAAACATGTTTTCTTATTTAGACTGGAGAAGAAAAAGAGTAGTAAATTTTTTTAGAGCTTCTATGTGAAGTAGGTTAGAACAGCCCTTCCCAAATATAGATATAATTCAATATACTAAGGGCCAACTCATACAATTCCCTAATCAACATAGCTATTTATTGTAAGAGGAAGACATTATATTTCCTTGTATGCAATGCTTATTTCTCTACAGTTACTTAGGTAAAGCTAAAAAGATGCATTGTTAGAATTCAATATGATAGTTGGATACAGATGCAGTTATAATTAAAGCAAATTTACTAAAGCCTATTTAGAATCAAATAGCTTAATAAAGAATTTAGTCTATTCTGCTCCATCTAATTATGAATTCAAGTAACATAATCCATCTCTTCATTTACACAATACTGTTCTCTCCCCCCCCCCCCGCTTTTATTTCATGGTCATGCCTGACATTCCTTTAAGAGGTCATGCCTGACATCCCTGGCTATGAAAAATTTGATGAATGACTAGACAACTTCTGATTTGCGGGGTCATCCTTTCAAAGACATTTCTTACTTAAACAGAGAAGCAAAATGACCACAGGTTGAGTAGAGCTACAGAATGACAAGCAGAGGGAGTGGGAGAAACTTCTGATTCCTTGCTGGCTTCCCCAGTGAGTTTCCTTGTGGGAAGAGTATCAGAAACCTTCCTTCCTTCCTTCCTTCCTTCCTTCCTTCCTTCCTTCCTTCCTTCCTTCCTTCCTTCCTTCCTTCCTTCCTTCCTTCCTTCCTCCTTCCAAAATTCCTACTGGCTTCTCCATTTACTTTACTTGTGGGACGATTATAGAGAGAAAGACATTGGGGAAGCCAGCATCAGAAGAATCTGGAAGAATGTATTTGGAAAATGACTGGGGGGGGGGTGAAGAGAGTGACCAATCTTTAGGATCTTTAGGTCCTAATTCCAAGCATAAACATCAAGACAACAAATCAAACAAGGAGGTAGAGCTTGGTGGGAAAAAAAGAAAAACTCAGATACAAATTAAGAGATGTAGGTCAGCCATAAAGGACTCAGATGCCTATACACTAATGCTCAAGGATTGGGGAACAGAGAGACCTTGAAGTACTAATATATGAGGGCAAGTAAGATATTATTGCCATTACTGAAACTTGGTGAGATTGAAACTCACAACTGGAAAATACTGATGAAAGGATATAAACTGTTCAAAAGAAAGAGATGTAACAAATGCATAAAACCACAGATAAAAGTCTCCTAGAATGCATATGGGTTAATATAAAAAGAAAAAAGAACAACATTGTCATAGTAAATACTACAAGCCGCCCAACCAAGCAGAAGAAATAGATGAACCTTTTGCTAATAAGTTAACAAATATATGTAAGAAATACACCACATTAATAAGGGGGGACTTTAACTACCGACATCAACTGGGAGACAAACTCTGCATCAAGTGGGAGATTGAACAGGCTCCTGACCAACCTAGCTGACAAATTTGTCAAAGTTTGAGGAGGACACTAGAGGGACAGCTATACTGGACTTAATTCTTACTAATACAAAAGAAATGAAAGAGGGGGTTGAAGTTGCAGGAATGTTAGGGGAGAGTGGCCATGTCATATTAGAATTCAGTATAATACTGATTATATTCAGTAATAGAATACAATCAAACCAGCATCTTAGACTTTCAAAGAGCTGATTTAAACAAACTCAGAGAAAGCTTGGGAAGGATTCAATGGATGAAAATCTTAAAGGGGAAAACAACCAAGAATTTTAGGAAATTGAAAAATATTATAAAAGCTGAGTCTAACACAATACTATTGAAAAAGAAAAATAAGAAATCCATGAAGTAATCAGTATGGTTGCACAAGGAACTCTGATAAACTAAAAGAAAAAAGAATAAGTATAGGTAATCCCCGAGTTATGAGCGTTCACTTAATGCTTGTTCAAAGTTATGTGATGAGTGCTCACTAGTGCTCACTATGAGCAAATCCCAAAATTATATTGCAACACCACGACAGTTGTTGGCCCTTACGAGTGACCGCAATGGCTCTGCAACATTCACCCTGGTTATTCCCTCCCTCCTCACCCCTACCCTGGGTCTCTTTAGGCACCAGGCCTTCAATACTCACCGTGCAAAGATCAAGATCCTTCGCTTTGTTGGCTACTCCAGGCCTTTGGTGTGTTCACAGAGAATGGAGGTCTAAAGTAATGCAAGATCATGCGAGATCAGTGGGGCGAGATCTCACATTACTGATCTTGTGTGATCTCACGATACTTTAGGCCTCTGTTCTCTGCAACAGAGAATGGAACCAAAGCAGGGGAAGCTTCCACGTGTCTCTGGAGGCTGGATCGGGGCTCCATAGGCCTTTCCCAGGCCATTGCAGTATGGATCTGAGGTCGGTGAATGTTTCTGCGCCTACCCACAGCCTGATCCAGACTCTGGAGGCCTTTTGCTGCTGCCAAGATCTGTGGTCAGTGAATGCTTCCGTGCTCCCCCACAGCCTGATCCTGGCTCTGGAGACCTTTTCCAGGCTGCTGGCACCTGGATCTTTGGTTAGTGAACACTTCTGTCCCCCCCATGGCCCAATTCGGGCTCTGGAAGTCTTTTCCAGGCTATTGCCACCTGGATCTGTGGCTGGTGAATGCTTCCACACTCCCCCTGCAGCCCGATCTGAGCTCCAGAGACCTTTTCCAGGCCAATCAAGCCATGGGGGGCACGGAACCATCCCCCGACCTCATATCCGGGTGGCAGCAGCCTAGGAAAGGCCTCTGGAGCTTGGATCAGGCCATAGGGAGACTGTGGAAGCATCCCCCAGCCTCAGGTGGCGGCAGGAACCGCAGCAGAGAGGAGATAGATCTTTTTCAGGTGAGTCCAGCATGGTAGAAAGGATGGGGGAAGCATGCAGTATCTTAGTGGGCCGAGAATGCCTTGGGATCTGTTCCATCACTAGGCCCTCCATGGCCTTCTCCACCCTGAGATACTTCATGTTTGCTTAATGAGCCGCGTGCATTTTAATGAGCAAGGGAGTGATCTTGTTTGAGGTACAAAATTCACTCTACGAGTTTTCAAGTTATGAGTGGAATGGGCAGGCTCCATTACACTCATAACTCGAGGACTACCTGTATAAAAAAAATGAAAAGAGGGACTTATAATTAAGGCAGAATACCAGCATATAGTCCAATCTGCAAAGATGGTCAGGAAAGCTAAGGCTCAGAATTAAATAATATTTGCAACAAATGTCAGAAATAATAAAACAGTTTCTTTCAACATATAAAAAATAAGAAAAAAATCGCTAATGGGAAAAGATGGTAAGAAAGTGAGGGGCAGCAGGGAAAAAGCAGAATTGTTTAATGTTTTCTTTGCATCTGTTTTCACACACACACACAAAAATAGCCCAACCTACCAAAAAAACAGAACCGTAAAAGATAAACTAGGGATTCAAATTAAAATAAGCAAGATAATGATAAGATAACATCTATCCACTCTAGATGAGTCCAAATCTCCAGGACCTGATGGATTACATCCCAGAGTTCTGAAGGAGCCGGCAGATGTGATCTCAGAACCACTGAACCAGTGGTGGAATTCACACCACTTTGGCAGAACTGGTAGCTAATTGTTTGTTGCCCAGGCCCAGAATGGATTTCCGGAAGCAGCATTCACACAGAGAACTGGTTGTTCACACATTTGAATCCCACCACTGCATTGAATCATATTTTTCAAAGATCCTGGAGTAGCTGGGAACTACCAGAAGCCTAGAAAAATGTTGATGTGGTTTTCATCTTCAAAAAAAGAGAAAGAAAAACAGATTCAGAAAGCTACAGACCGATCAACCTGACATCAATATCTGGAAAGATCATGGAAAAAATAATCAAGCAACAGATCTACGTATACCTAGAAGCAAGCAGTTATATCCAGAAGCCAACATGGATTTCTCAAAACAGATCATGCCAAACAAATCTTATTTTCATTCATTGACAAAATGACTATATTAGTGGACCAGTGGAATACTTTGGACATAGTATACTTAGATTTCAGTAAGGTATTTGACAAAGTAGACCACAGCCTATTTCTTGGTAAGCTAGAAAAATGTGGACTTGTAACTAGCTGATAAGCTGCACTCAATGTATAGTCCTTAATGGAATTATATCTATATGGAAGGAAGTAAGCAGTGGGGTATCCTAGATTTTAGTTTAGGCCCAGCTCTCTTCAATATCTTCATAAATGATTTAGATGAGGAAATAGAAGGGGAACTCATCAAATTTACAGATAACACCAAGCTGACAGGAATAGCCAATATTCCAGAAGATAGGCTCAAGATCCAGATGAACTTGAACATTGGGCCTTATCTAACAAAATAAAATTTAATGTAGAGAAAATTAAGCTTTTACACTTAAGCAAGAAAAATAAATATATAGGTGCAGATTAGGTGAAACCTGGTTTGATAACAGTGAGAGAATCTTGACGTCTTAATGGACAATCACTTAAATATGAGCCAGCAGTGTGCTGCAGCCACCAATGAAATCCTAAGCTGCATTAACAGACAGAGAGAATCAAGATCACATGAAGTGTTAGTGTACAGCTTTATAAGGTCTTGGTAAGACCACACTTGGAAAATTACGTTCAGTTTTGGTTAGCTAGCGCAATATAACAAAGATATTGAGACTCTGGAAAGAGTGCAGAGAAGAGCAACAAAGATGATTAGGGGACTAGTGGCTAAAATGCATGAAGAATACCTGCAGGAATTGGGTATGTCTAGTCTAGTGGAAAAAAAGACTAGGGGCGACATGATA